GTTGAACTTGGTTTTCTAGACAGGACAGTGAGCTAGACTTTGGTGAGCTGCACTAGAGTCCCCACCCATTTCTGTAGCTTGATTCTGGCTCTTTTCCACATACAACTGCAAAACAAAAGCAAGGAAGGCTGGTCCCCAACAGACTGAAAAGTGCTCGGGCAGACTTCCCAAGCAGTCAGTTTTTTAATTTAAACATGGCACTCAGTATGTCTGACTGGTGAGTCAGACTTACCGAGTGCCATGTTTAAATTAAACATGACTTGGTTGATACTGTTAGGGTCGGTAATCCTTGGGCACAGAGAAAAAGGGGGAGAAGTCAATCAACAGGAATGACTTTCCAGCAGAAAGATGGCTTGTAGAGGAGCCCGTAGAGCACAGGACAACACAGGGGGCCAGTGCGAACACCAACAGGGAGTAAGGACAGACATTACCCGGTCGGCAGCAAAGACAGGTCGGAAAAAAGTCTATCACGTGACCTGGATGTTTTACTTCTTTAGAAGAGTAAGTACAGCCTTGGTCCTGATCATCTTTGTCCTTTGGAGTCATCAGTCTTTGGCTGCTGGGTAGCCTTCCCCTATCATCTGCCCAGGGGGTCCTCCCAGAGAGGTCTCTTCTGGTCACAAACTCCTTAGCACATGCTCTCCTTTTGTCTATTCTGTTTTCTTTACCGCAGCTATCAGTACCCAGAGCTTTTCTTTCTTTACTTTTGGACTGATCTTGAAGAACCAGGCAGGAGTCTGTTCCATTTCTGCTGCTACAGCCGAGCACCAAAGACTGAACAGTTTACAGAGGGAAGAGGTTTATTCTGCCTCGGTGTTCTGGAATCCCAGAGCATGGCCCCAACACCTTGTCCAGCGTCAGGGCTTGTGGTGGGAAGGCAAGCTGGTGCATGTGGAAGAGAGACTGAATTACAACAGCTAAGCCACTCCTGGGAAGAAAGCCCAGTCCACTGATAAGAGCGCGGCCTTGTGTCTCAGACGCCTCCTAAAGGACCCACCACCTCTCTGCACTGACATATTGAGGACCAGGATTCGACATACACTTTTGTAGCCACAAACCACGTTCAAACCAAGGCAGGGCATACCCCTTTCCACCACGTGAACTTTAATAGGGAATGGGTAAGACAACAATACGAACCACAGAGGAACTGACTCTCTGGAAGCCCCTGGTCAGAAAGATGCTTGTCAGTCACCAGACACATACAATGTAACAAAAGCAGAACCCTAAATGGCAGAAGCACTTTGGGATCACATGATCCCAGGGGTCCAAAGCTCCTCTTGATCAGTATCTTTACACCCATACATTACTCAGCTCTAACATCAGCCTCACAAAAGTGCAAAAATCTCAAATACTTTGCCTCAAAACATACTTATATGCAAATGAATTCTGCTTCGGAGGCAGGAACTGCTTGGAATTTATATTTAAACATTTCTTAGAATTTTAGGATGCCACAAAATCTGAGAACCCCATCTGAAAAGATGTAAGAGAGAAACTCCTGATCAAGCAGCTGGCACAAAGCAGAATTTCGAGTGGGCGTGGTATCTGGATTCTTCCAAGATCAAAGGACTTCTGGGTTCCAAACCCAAGGACATTTGAAAAACTGGTGGATTCCATGAACAGTGAAATATCACAGACATCTCAATGTCCTTTGGCCATGGATTTATGCAGTAATAAAAAGACATATCTAACTGTGGCCTGTGTATTCTTACAACACTGCCTTAAGCATCTGTTCTGTGAAATGTGAAATAAAAATGTAATGCTAAAGCAGAAAAGAGTAGGCATCGTAGTACATGCCTCTGGTCCCAGCTACCTGGGAGGCTAGGGCAGGAGGATCACAAGTTCAAGGCCAGCCTGGACCATGACAGCAAGGACCTGAATCAAAAAAAAAAAAAAAAAGGTTGGAGATGAAGCTCAGTGGTAGAGCACTTGCCTAGGATATGTGAGGACCTAAGTTCAATCCTCAGTACAAGACATTTAAAAAGGCTGGGTGGCAGTGGTGCACACCTTTAATCCCAGCATTCGGGAGGCAGAGCCAGGCAGATCTCTGTGAGTTCAAGGCCAGCCTGGTCTACAGAGCAAGATGCAGGATAGGCACCAAAACTACACTGAGAAACCCTGTCTCGGAAAAACCAATATAAAAAAGATTTGAAAAAAAAAAATGAGTAAAGACAAGATTCGGGGGGTATAGGAGAACACTACTGTTACAGTGCTATATCCAACCACTAGCCCCAAACATGTTTACTTTCTAAACTGGTGTCCTCTAGGACTAGAACCAATGCCTAGGGGAGTGTCTTCCTGTTTCAGGACTTTTTACCCCACTACAGGCACCAGCACTTAGCCCTGCCAGCAGCAGGTGTGGAGCAGTACAACTTAAACTGTGAATGGATGGATGCATGAATAACAAACATAGCCAAGGTACCTGGGGATGATGGAAACACTGTAACAGGACAAAGATGTGTGACTTCCAGCCCCTTCTTACATCGAAACAGTACTTCCCGCAGGGTTAAGTCCACTCCTGATAACTACCCAGTCCCCGATCAAATGAGAATCAGGGGACTCTAAGACAAAGAACACTAGGCCAGAGGTTGGCAACTGGAAACAAGTTTGCCCCCAGGAGAAACATCAGGGACTGGAGATTTGGGCCTGTCCCAGTGTAGGGGAGGATGCGAATGCCATCCACTGGGTAGAGGCCTGGAAAGCCATTTGGCTCACTGTGAGTCACAGAGGCTTGCATGGCAAACACATAAAAGTCCAGTGCAAACTGGGCAGTTGCTGAGGAAGTCTTCCCTACACTGGGGGCACGTATCTCCTTGGAACGGTAATCCTTCCTTCACTCCTTCGTCTTCTCACAGAGAAAGAGTCATCTAAAACAGATGTCAGTCATACCCAAGCCCGACGCATCCCTGTACTCATCAGTGGACAAATCCAAGAACACTAATCAATCACAGAGCTCATGTACACCTTCACAGTTTGTAAAAATGCCCCCCCCCCCCAAATTCTCTGTTGCTTCTCCCAAGAGTGTGAGTGGTAACTGGAGAGGCACTGTTCTACCCATTTTAGAGAAAACAGAGACTGGATTACGCCAACCACTGAAGGCCTTTTAGTTTTAAGTATCTATAAATCCAGGGAGAGAAAAATCAGGCTTTTTGACATCCCTGCCCTCTTAGCAACCGAGGGCTTCTCATGCAAAATACCAACGGACGCCATAGCAGGGTTCCCACGAAATGCCAGGACAATATCCTTGCCCAGCAGGCAAGGCACAGGAGGAGGAAGAGGCCACCAGACCAGTCAGGTGAATGCTCATGAACTAAACAATACTGGCAGTCACTGGAGGACAGACGTCAGAGGCAGAAGGTCCTCCTTTCCTGACCTACAATGGCTCAGCTTCTGCCCACCTGTCATTATCATAGGCTGATCAAGGTAAAGGACACACAGAAGCATGTGGGGGCAGTGCTCTGTGATATCATGCCTAATAAAGACAGTGTTGTTGTGGCTTTGTTTTTAATGATGTATTGCAGTATTTAAGACTAGTATGAGACAGTGAAGACAGAGGTCTCCCTCTAAAAAAATGTGTTGGTCCAAACTCTTGAGAAAACTTTGGGTCAACTGGCTTTCAGAGACTGCACACAAAAAAGACATGGACATACAATGGTGTGCTGATGAGCAGAAACATTTACTAGGCTGGCCCCTCAGTCATACCATGAGGCTCTCTGCTTTGTGGTTGTGAGCCAGACCAACTGGCTCTGAGTCGAGGCTCTGCCACTCATCAGGTGGGTAACTCGACCAGCTCCTCGTGTGTACATGTATTTGTGTGCATGAACATATATATGCATATGTGTATGGGGGTATGTGAACATGTATGCAGGGCAGAAGTGGCTAATTTTAATTTAATCATGAATTACTCTACACCTATTTTTTTGAGACAGGATCTCAATTTAGCTAGATTGTCTGACCAGCAAGCCCCAGGGATCCTTCCACCTCTCCAGGGCTGGGGTTCTAAGCACATGCGACCACGCCTGGCTTTTGGTACAGGTGCTGAGAATCAAACTCGGATCCTCAGGCCCGTGTAGTAAGAGCCTTTTTACCAACTCCTGCCCCTGCTTCCTTAAGTTTCGTGTGCCTCGTGTGAAAAACAGGCATGGAATAAACAGTACTTCTTCACGGAGCTGGTGAAGAACAAGCAAGTTACTCCAGGGCAGCAAAGTACTACTAAAGAGCCCAGGCACCACAGACTCACTGGCGACTGCAATGCTGGCCAGCTCAGAACGTCGACTCGGGACTTACACAAAGACAGTGGGAGCTGCCTGCCTCTAGCGCCTCCTTTGTCAATGTCAAACATGAAGGAAGAGAGTGACTTTGTTGTACAATGAATGCTAATCTCTGGTGGTCTGTTCTGGTTATTTTTACATATGCTTAGGATCTGCTTGAGACAAACTGGCAGCCCTGGTCAAAAGAAAGAGATCTACTCTCCTCTTATCAATGGGAACTGGGATCCAAACCCACTTCCACCACCTCTTGCATCAGGATGTAGTTGTCTTATCTAGACTCCTCAAATCTCCTTTCCCAATCTGCACAAAGAGGAAAACGGCTTCCTCAGAGCGTGTTACAAGCTCAAAAAAGAATGGACCACTGCTTGCTCTCTGTTGCTATTTTTTCTCATCTTTAACTGGACAGAATACATAGGCCATTTCCCTTTTGTCCTCTGAATAACAGATAGGAAACTGGGATAAAGATCTACCATGAGGCCTAAACACTGCTAGTCCCTCACAGAGTCAGAGTGGAGCAGACATTGCTTAGTCTGTAATTCTTTGCCAAAGACGACCAATTTGTATAGGATGAGAAATTTCGCCCCAAGAACCTCAGATAAACACCTTCTAAGTGACACTTTTAAATTCTAAGGCATCACCCATTTTATTTATATTCTTATAATCACATCTCCAACATTAGCACCTTCTGCTGAATCTGTAAACAAACTGTTCTTTTCTTCTTTCCCCTGCTAGGGAAAAAAAGGGAACCCCATTTAAAGTTACATAGCAGTACACAGAAGAACTCTGGTTAAAGCTCTTGGTCACCTGCATCCAACAACTTACTTCATCACTGCCTTGACTTGTAATTCAGGTAATTCCCTCTGACTTCAGATTGAGCATGTTTACTCTAGTAGGGATCCACCTTTTAAAATGATATCTACTTTCCCCACACTCTGGAAATTATCTTTAGGGCCTTTAGTCTTGCACCTTGTAAGGCAGCCCACCACCACCACACACGCACAGACAGGTACAGAGACACAGTAATCTGTGTTGTGCAGTGGCCATCAGCCAGTGGTTCCTGAGCATTTAAAATGTATCAAGTACCTAATGAGAATTTAAGACTGCAGAAAGAAATACTGCATGAATAATTTTACTTATTGGTTACATGTTAAAATGCTTTAAATAAACTCAGTTTAATAAATATTTGTAAGATGATCATTTGTTCTAAATTTCAAAGAAATGTTACCAGAAAATTTTAAATGATGTGGTTCATGTCATATTTCTACCAGACCAGCAGTGGCCTATTGAGAAGGTTTGTGAAGGACTTCTCTGTCATCTGCACTGGCTTCCTCCCTCTGTCCCCAAAAGGACTACACCTGGCCCATATTCAGTACACAGTATGTGTTGAACCACTGAAGCATATAAATCTCTCTGTACCTATAGTTTTTCATTTCTTCACTGGAAATTGTTTCTGCACAAGATAGTTATGATAATAAAATAGCCAAGAAATCTATTACTTTGAAAGGTAAATAGCACAATGTGGATATGAATACTACCACTTTTGCTATGAAGTGTGAAATTAATATTCCTTGGGCAATCATTTGCATCCCTAAATCTACTCTTTCAATTATAATATAAAATACCTGAAACCAAGTGCAGAAAGGGCAGTGACCACTGGAACAAACTAGAAATACCAAAGCAAAGTGGAGGCACAGCCACAGTCAGTGGGAAAGCAAACCGAGCCTCCAAACCCAGGCTAATGTCTCCACTAGTCATAGAGCTGACGGATGCCCGCGCTAATGGGAACATAATAATGCAAGCACGCATTCAAGAGAGGGAGTTTCTGATCATTGGCAAAAAAAGAAATTTTCAGTGACTTAAATCCTAGTCACCAAAATACCTCAGTGAGATACTGGTTCACAGCATGCAGAAGCGTGGAGACTGTGGAAAGAGTTAAGGAGCACTAGTCCCCTACCTTCAATGGCTGCCTCAACATTCATTCTCATGGAAATAACTAAACCACTGCGGTGCCCTCACCCCAAAGCAGTAACCAATGTGAAAGGGTGAAGCGGAGGGAAGAAAACAGAGAAAGCAAGCCACACCATTATAGCCCATAAACATGGCAGCGAAGGTATACGGAGATGAGGTGGGGGCTGGGGGTGGGGCACAAGGCCAGAAGCTCACCAAACCCAAGAATATTTAAAAATACGTGTACAGAAGTACTTGTCTTAGTCCCAGGTATCTACACACATAGTAAGATTTCCCTTTAAACCAGCAAGTTCCTTAATCTTGAGGCTGACACAAATAGGAACCCCCCCCCCACCACCAGAGGACTGTCTATCACCATCCTCAGCCTAGAGGGTGGGGGTGAAGAAACTGGCCCAGAAGGTTTGCACCACCACAGGGTCAAGGAAAGATTTTCCAAATGGCCTAGTGCGCACAACAGCCAGCCAACAGGTAGCCCTGCGGAAGCCCCATAACCCAGGGTCAACCAGCTCCAGACACCAAAAGCCGGGTCAGTGCTAGGGTTTCCGTGAACTTCCCCACCAGAGCGGCTTATCTGTGCACGCGCACACAAATCTGGGGAAGAGAAGAGGAAATTACAGAAACCGCCCATCTGGCCCGGCTTCACCAATGCTGTGGGTGGCAGGCGTCAAGGGGCCCGGTCTCAAGGGAGGGGGGACAGACCACATCCAGCCCAGGTCCTGGCTCTCAAAGGGCAGACTGTGCGGACCGGGCCCGGCGGCGGAAGCCGCAGAGGGAAGGGGCGGCCGGCCGGGCCCGGACGTTACCTGGCTCATCCCACTCCCCATGGCCGTGCCGCGCTCTCCGCTCCGTGCTCGCGGGAGGAGCCGGCGCGTGCATGGGCGAGCGGGCGGGGCGGCG